TACCTGTTACATTTGGGCTTATTTAACTTTGTGCCAACAAAACTTCTCTACTTGACTTCCTGGGGGTTTGTCTTGTAGCCAAACCCATCTACCACCAAGAAAACCAGTGCTTGAAGTTGAAGGTGACGGTCGATGGCAAAATCAGTGAGTGTCAGTCCCTGTGGGCTTTCTCCCTCCATCTCTAAGCTGGGTGGGTCTAGTGGTCTGGGATGGTAGAGAAGTTCCACTGCCAGCCCACGTGGAACTTATACCCCAGTGCCTTCCTGTCATGATCCTTGATCTGTCTCTATTCTTGTCTTTCAGCTCACAGTCCTCAAGCCCATGCCAATGAACAAGAGAAAAGACTTCAAGCAGGTAGGTAGTTTTAGAAATGAGGAAGGGATCTGCTTGAAAAGGATGGGATGGGTATAGGAGATGGGTATAGGCAGGGGCTGGGAAAATCCTAAAAACTAAAGGGTAGTTCAAATAGTGGAGCCATTTACCATGAGGCCTGTGTCTTCTCATCTAACAGACGATGCAGAGGTTCTACATAGCATCGGTCACAGTGCTGCCCCCCGCCTCTTCCCACTTGCCTGGGCTGTGCTGCTCCTGCCTCTTCTACTTTTGCGAACTCAGTGAAGGTGTGCACCTCTGGATTAAGGATTGGATCTGGGCTGAGGAGACAGGAACAGGCACCCTTAACCTGTCCCCAAACTCCAGCCTTGGGAACCACTCCCATCACATGCACAAGCTGCCACCCAGCAGCCTCAAAACGGGTCAGTATTAAGGGTTTCAGCCCGAAGGAGGGCAACCAGCCTGATGGTACCATCCTCACCTCCGCTTCAGAGGAATGGAGGAAAAAGCAGGACAGTCCTTTCCCTGCCATCCCTGCCTTTAAGCCAAAGAAACAAGCTGTGCAGACATGGTCCCTGGAGAGGACCCACTGGGAACTGAGCTGGAAGGGGCCGGAGGCCATGGAGATGGACACTACACTTGGCAAGGTGCCCCTCCTAGAGAGAGACAGGACATCCAGATGAACTGACTAAAGGAAAAAGCAAGAGAGAGTTTCCTGCATGGGAGCCAGGTACAGGAGAGTGTGCTTGGGCTGACCCAGAATCTCCCAGCAAGAGTTCCATCTGTGGGGCTGGGAAGGTGGCTCAGTGGTAGAGTGCTTGCATTGCAAGCCAGAGGCCCTGGGTTCGATTCCTCAGCACCACATAAGCAAAAAGCCAGAAGTGGCGCTGTGGCTCAGTGGTAGAGCGCTAGCCTTGAGCTGAAGAGCTGAGGGACAGCGCCCAGGCCCAGAGTTCAGGCCCCACGACTGGACCCAAAAAAAAAAAAAAGTTCCATCTGTGGAGCTGCCACAGAGGGGTTTGTAGCCAGGCACTGCATCCTCTCCCCATCTGGGGCAGCACTCCTTGGAGCTGTGCCAGCAGGGGGGCTGTGCCAACCTGTTCTTAGAAGAGTATAGCTGTAAGGGCAGTGCCCAAGAGTTCACACTGCCTAGAGTGTAGCCTAAAGGGCAGGGCCCACATGTACAGTATTGTATATAAACTTGTCGTGTGTCTACTGATTTCTACAACTGGAGTTTTTTTTTTATACAATGTTTTTGTCTCAAAATAAAGCGATGTGTTTGTTTGTTTTTGGAAATGTTTGCTTTATTGTCCCTCCTTGTTGACTTTGTTCAAAGAGTCCCTGCTGTGTACTAGGTCAGAAGTAACTGGGACTGGGCTGGAATAGTAGTAGTACATCCTTGAAATCCCAGTTATTCTAGAGGCTGAGGTAGGAAAACGGCAAGTTTCAGATAGTCTGGACAAGTTAACAAGACCCTGCCTCAAAGTGAAAAATATAAAGGGCTAGGGATGTAACTCAGTGGTAGGGCATTTACTTAGCAATGCACGAGGCCCTGGGTTTAATATATAGGAGGAAGGGGCTGGGAAGGTGGCTCAGCAGTACAGTGCTTGCCTCCCATGCATGAGGCCCTGGGTTCAATTCCTCAGCACCACATACACAGAAAAAGCCGAAAGTGGCGCTGTGGCTCAAGTAGTAGAGTGCTATCCTTGAGCTGAAAAGCTGAGGGACAGCGCCCAGACCCACGACCGACAAAAAAATAAATAAAAATACAGGAGGGAGAGAGAGAATTTAAGCAACTGAGTATAAACTTCTCAAGAGAACTTGCCCCTCACCAGGCCAAAAGGGTGGGGTGTTTCCTTCTCAGAGTTACTCAGTACAAGAGTGTTCCCACAGCAATCTTGCAGATTGTACTCCGCACCCTACTGTGGAAGCTCTTCCTGTCCAACTTCTACCCCACTCCCACCCCCTCAGCGCTGGGCTTTGGCAAACTGTGCAGGTACTTCTGCATCTGGGTGAGTCAGGCAAGCTGGACGCCAGCTGAGGCGTGCGCCCCACCCCACAGCGCTGCCTGGCAGAGGTGTGTGGGAGGATGGGAGGGAAAGTTCCCAACAGCAAGTAGGATGGATGAGGGGGTCATGGGATGAGGAGGTCAGTGATAGGGGCGACAGTGGGTTGAGCCGGTCATGTAAAGCGGGACTTGTAGCTGAAGGAGAGCATCCCACAAAGATGGTAATGAAGGCAAGGGAGGTTGATCTGGAGCTGTAGGTAGGAGGCATGGGTCTAACTTCTGGGCGCTGGCACCTGTGGGAAAGCACGAGTCGAGGCTGGGGACTCCTTGAGTCCCGGGGTAAGCAGAGTGTGAGGAGTGGCAGTGTGTGTGTGGCGGGGGAGCGGGGGGCGGTGGGGACGAGGGGGAGACAGGCACGGAGCTCTAGGACACCGAGCGACCGCGGTTTAGAGGGCGCCCTCCAGCTCTGGACTCAGGGAACCAGCGGCCGAGAGACCGTGTTCGACCCGGCGCTCAGAGGCACGGGGCTGTAGTTCCGGTACAGCACTCTCGAGCCGGACGGGGTTCCCGCACGGTTTCCGGAGGGACGGCAGGGGCGTGGTCTTAGAGGGGTGGGGCTGGGCTCTGGGGCGGAGCTTCGGAGCTAGCTGGTCCCTCGGAGCTAGTCGACGCTTGCCTCTGGCGGGATGGAGGCGGGCGACGTGGCCGACTCGCTCCTTTCCGGAGCTTGCGTGCTCTTCACCCTCGCCATGTTCTCCACCGGCCTGTGAGAGCGCGGCCCGGCTGGGTCGGGGCAGGACCAGGAAGTCAGGAGAATATTGGATAGAGACTTAACCACAGCCCCAGGCTGCGCCCGGGACCCAAGTGGAATCGGGTGGAGGGGATTCGGGTTGCGAGGGCAGAGTTGCTGGGGGCCGGGTCTGCGGGCTCTGGGGAGGGTGAGAAGCTCCGGAGATTGCCCGTTCATCCCACTCTTCCCTTCGGGGCCCCATTACAGCTCGGACCTCAGGCACATGCAGATGACCCGCAGTGTGGACAGCGTCCAGTTCCTGCCCTTTCTCACCACGGATGTCAAGTGAGAGTGGACGCCTGAGGTGGGACGGATAAGGGAGGCAGAGGAAGGGCAGGAGGACCGCTGCAGAAGGCTCCTGGTAACCCCCTGCCACATTCAACCCCGCTGGCTATGCGCCTATATTGCTTCCCTCCTCTTTGCAGTAACCTGAGCTGGCTGAGTTATGGGGTCTTGAAGGGAGACGGGACCCTCATCGTCGTCAACACTGTGGGTGCTGTGCTTCAGACCTTGTATGTTTTGGTGTATCTGCACTACTGCCCTCAGAAGGTAGAAGCCCTCCTTTGGACACACCTCTCTGCTGCACACCCTGCTTCGTTGGCAGGGCAAACACTACTTCCTAGAAAACTGTTAATAGCTTGGCATGGCCTCCTTTCCCTCGAAGGCTCTCCAGCCTTTCCTTTCTCCTTCCTCTAAGAAGCGAGCCCTCGCAGACTGATATATGACCCCCTACTCTAGCAAGGCTAGTAGTTTACCTAGCTTAGGGGCGCTTGTGCTGCCCTGTGCTTCTACCAAACAGGCTGAGAAAGGGCTTTTGTTTCCATAGTTCCTTGGGGACCAGGACCAGTGGCTGAGAATGAGATGATTAGCTGTTTCCCTACTCAATCACACAAGCATTTACCAGGCTCCTACTGTGTGTGCAAAGTTCATGGGGAGTGGGGGGGGTACCTTTGCCTTCTGTGGAGGTCTCCAGTGTTGTGTGGATAAGAATATTCCATCAAATCACTGGGGGGAAGAGAATGTAACAGAGCAATATGGAAAGATGCAGCAGAGGTTAGCTCCCACACTGGAGTATGAAGGAAGACATGGATGAATTCAGCAAGCAGAGAGGTCAGAGTGTTTTGGGGCACATCTGCAAGTATGACTACTTTCCCCTGCAGCATACTGTACTCCTACAGACTGCAACCCTGCTGGGGGTCCTTCTCCTGGGTTATGGCTACTTTTGGCTCCTGGTGCCAGACCCTGCAGCCCAGCTTCAGCAACTGGGCCTCTTCTGCAGTGTCTTTACTATCAGCATGTACCTGTCACCACTGGCTGACTTGGTGAGTAGGGCTGACCAGAAAGTTGGGTGAAAGTGAGAGACAGGACAAAAGGGTTGGGTAACCAATCACAGAAATAGTTTGACTTTTTTATGAGGAAATTCTTGGTCTCTCATCCTTTTCCCACAGGCCAAGGTAATTCAGACAAAGTCAACCAAGCGTCTCTCCTTCTCCCTTACCATTGCCACCCTCCTTACCTCTGCCTCCTGGTCCCTCTATGGGTTTCGACTTAAAGATCCTTATATTATGGTAAGAAAACAGACGTTGTGACAAGTCTGCCAAGTGGAAAACTGGCTCCTCTCTTCTTAACAGCCCTTTGATTTCAGGTGCCCAACCTTCCAGGAATCATCACCAGCTTTATCCGACTATGGCTTTTCTGGAAGTACCGCCCAGAGCAAGACAGGAATTATCGGCTCCTGCAAACCTGACCACGGCCACCTAATGCTAACTTGATACCAAAGAGAGCGCCTTTTATTCAGCTCATCCTGATGACCAGTTTCATGGGTGCAAGTGGGAAAAAGAAATGACTTAGAGATCAAAGGGATCAAAGAAAGAGCTTTACTTAGAAGAACAGGTAGAACCTAAGGGATGAAATCACTTATTTTTTTAAAAGATTATCTTTTTTTTTCTTCAAATTTTGGAGATCAGGCTATCTTTAGAATGTGCCTTAAAATAAACTCTTCCTCAGTCCTTGTCCATCATAGCTCATTCTTTATTCCTGATTTGGTGAAGGGCAGATCTAGTTATTCTCAGGCTGTTAGTGGCTCAGAAAATGAACTTAAAAGAAATAGGAAGCTGGGAAGACCAAGGAAGGCCTTTAAAAGAACAGACCTTGGGCTGGAATGTGACTTAGTGATAGAGTGCTTATATAGCATGCATGAAGCCCTGGGTTCCATTCCTCAGTACCACATAAACAGAAAAAGCTGGAAGTGGCACTGTGGCTCAAGTGGTAGAGAGCTTGCCTTGGGCAAAAGAAGCTCAGGGACAGTGTGCAGGCCCTGAGTTCAAGCCCCAGGACTGGCAGGGGAATAAAAAGAAAAAAGCAGACCTTGAAAAAAAAATGTTTGGGGGGGAGAAATGTGGAGGGAGGTGGGGAAAAAAGAAAGAACAGACCTCAGAGAGCTAATCAGGAGGCTGAGATCTGAAGATCACCGTTCCAAGCCAGCCCAGGCAGGAAAGACCATTAGACTCTTATCTCCAATTAACCACTAAAAAGCCAGGGCACAAACCTTGAGCATAAAAAAGCTTAGGGACAGGAAGTGGTGCTGTAGCTCAAGTGGTAGAGCACTCGCCTTGAGCTGAAGAGCTGAGGGACAGCGCCCAGGCCCAGAGTTCAAGCCCCACGACCGACAAAAAAAAGCTTAGGGACAGTGCCCAGACCCTGAGTTCAAGCCCTAGAACACACACACACACACACCTTGGAAGATATGAAAAGAATTTAAAGTATTTCCTGCCAGATTTGGTGTAAGTTGTTCATAACTCCCCCCCCCCAAAAAAATACTTCCTGACAAGGGTTAAAAGGATCAGGAAAATGAAATGACATTTCTTTTTTTTTTGTCGGTCGTGGGGCTTAAACTCTGGGCTTGGGTGCTGTCCATTGGCTCTTCAGCTCAAGGTGAGCTCTCTACCTCTACCGCTTGAGCCACAGCAGCACCTCTGGCTTTCTAGTGGTTTATTGAAGATAAGAGTCTCACAGCCTTTCCTGCCTGGGCTGGCTTTGAACCGTGATCCTCAGATCTCAGCCTCCTGAGTAGCTCTCTGAGGTCTGAGATATTATCTCTCTCCCCCCCCCTTTTCTCTCCTCTCTCTCTCTCTCTCCCGTATACACAGTCCTCAATGCCATACTCAAACCACACAAGATTAGAAAACAAAACTGTTCTTTAATGGGGAGTGGGAGGGAGGTTGTCTGGACTGTAATGGGGTGGGAGGCGTCAAAAGCGCAGCCCCTTGCGGGCTAAGTCAGCTCGGGCCTCCTGGATCTGGCTCTGCAGCTCTCGGGCGGCGTCCTCGCAGTCGTGAAAAGTGGCCACGCGGTAGCCCACAGTGGCCAGCGCGTAGCAGCCGGCGGTCACCAGCAAGTAGGCGGGCAGCGGCCACAGGACCTCCCGGCACGGCAAGGGCAGCTCCAGGCCCAGAGCGCCCATGGTTAGGGCTGCCCAAGTGGAGCCCAGGAGCGCCAGTCCCCAAAGCCACTGCGCTAACTTCGTCATGGTCACTGTGGGAAGAGAAAGTAAAGCTCGGATTGCCTGCCTTCCCACTGTCCCGCTCCACATTTGGGGCTCAGGCCTCATGGCAGCCACCCGCCTCTCCCTCTCCACTACCTAGACTTAAACACGTACCATCTACACGTACCACTCCGCAGCGTCCAGTCCTGCTCTCGGCGCTGCCCGGGCTGGCGTCATCGTCCTGACGTCCCCTGCGCTCGCGCCGCGCCCCCCCGCACGGCCTTGTGGGAGTTGTAGTTCTTAGGGTGGTGCTTGGCAGGCTCCACGGTGATGCCAATGTTCAGACCACGCTCAGAATTTTCCGCTCTGCGAACCGCGCAGGCTGCATCTGGAAGGGGCCCGCTGCCTCGCCTCCCTTCCTCGCAGCCCTGTTTTAAGCTGGCGTGGGACTTGTAGAAAGCTTGACATCCCTAAATGTTGCAACAAGGTGGAAGATGTAATATTGTTCCCTTTTAAACTCAGTTCTTCGGCGCAAAATCTATTCATTCACTGACACATTTCGTTCAAATATTGTGGGGTTTTTTTGGGGGGGGCTTGGAAGGGTTCATGGATTTTTTTTTCAGAGCTAATTTATTTTTTGTAAGTAGTTGTATGAAAGGGTTTCAATTCCTCAGGTCAGATTATGAGTACAGTGAATTTTGATCAGTGCCACCCCTTGCATTGTTCTCCCCTATTTCCACCCCCATCCCTGCCCGAAAGTTAGCTTGGTTCAACTTTTACGTAATTTACAGTAATTTAATGATTGCATCTTCTCACACTTCCCCTAAAAAACATATTTTAACTTCCTGGTATTCATTTTGTTAAATGGTTAGTTAGTTACTCAGAAGCGTTACATCATTAGAAAAAAGACAAAGAATATATATTATTTCAAAAATTTATAATTTGGTAGAAAATAGTACAATTTAATAATAGACAGGGGAGAGATTCCGAATAAGATAATATGGGGTTATTTTCTATTTCTACAGAGGCTTTAAAAAATTATTGTTATTATAAGGTGACTTACAAACGGGTTACCGTTTCATAAGTCATGTAGTAACTACATTTCTTTTTGGGGCAATATCATCCCTTCATTCGCTCCCAGTTTTTCACTCCTGTACCCATAAGTTGTATAGCTCATTTTCAACATAGTGTCTAGTGAGTGCCATTGCTGCATTTGTTCACTCTTTATCCCTCCATTTCTGTGCCTGCCCTTACTGCCCCATAGACAGATAAGCAAGCATACAAGAAAACTAAAACAAATTAAAAACACCAAAAGACAAAAATAGACAACTCCATCTTCACCAAGAGCAGAAACAAAAACAAAACTCTTTGTTCTTATTTCCTATTTTTTAATTTTTAATTTTCTATTTTTTTAATTTAATTTTATTGCCAAGGTGATGTACAGAGGGGTTACAGTTACATACATAAGGTAATGAGTACTTTTCTTGTACAACATTGTTACTCCTTCCCTGATTTTTCTCCCACTTTCCCTCTCCTCCAACTCCCCACACACACACACACACACTTGTAAGGTTCATTTCCAACATATTGTCTTGTGAGGCTTGCTGTTACATTGGTTCACCCTTTGTCCTTTGTCTTATAATTTTCTTCCCTTCCCTTCCCCAAATCAGATAAGTGTATACACAAGGCACAGGGTACCCAAATCAAATACAATGACAACAGAATATACACCAAAGGGGAAAAAATGAAAGAAAAAAATAACTTCATACAGTATTTTAAAAACAAAAACAACAAAGCAGGTCCCCAGTGGCTCATGATTGTAATCCTAGCTACTTAGGAGGCTGCCCAGTCAGGAAAGTCTGTGAGACTCTAATCTCCACTCAGAAAATCAGAAGTGGTGCTGTGGCTCAAATGGTAGTGCACCACTCACCTTGAGCTGAAGATCTGAAGAACAGCACCCAGGCCCAGAGTTCAGGCTTTATGACCAACAAATATACATATAGCAGGCACCAGTGGCTCATGCCTATAATACTAGCTACTCAGGAGACTGAAATCTGATGATCACAGTTCAGAGACAGCCATGAGACTTGTATCTCCAATTAACCACCAGAAAACTGGAAGTAGCACTGTGGCTCAAAGTGGTAGAGTACTAGCCTGAAGAGCTTAGGGATAGTACCCAGGCCCCGAGTTCAAGACCCATGATCAACAAAAAAAAACCCTTGGGGTTGGAGACATGGCTCAGTTAGTAGTGTTAGCCAATGGGCAAAAGCATCGGGCGCTGAGTTCGAGTCCCAGTCTCTGACAAAAAAAAATGTTCTTATGCCTGGCTGCTTGCCATGTCTCTCTTGTACCAACATTCTGATAAAACATTGGTTTTCCTATTTTTAAAAAAAAGTGCTGGGAAGGTGGCTCAGTGGTAGAGTGCTTGCCTCACATGCACAAGATCTTGGGTTCGATTCCTTAGCACCACATAAACAGAAAACAAAAACAAAAACCAGAAATGGCACTGTGACTCTAACGGTAGAGCACTAGCCTTGAGATGAAGAGTTGAGGGGCAGAGCCCAAGCCCAGAGTTCAAGCCCCACAACCGACAAAAAAAATTATATATATATAGCTAGATAGATATAGATATATTATATCTATCTATACAGATAGATAGATGAGTATAGATATAGATATATGTATAAAGATATATAGAGAGGGGGAGATTTGGTCCATGTGACCTCTTCTGAAAAAAAAAGGCAGGGCTGGGAAGGTGGCTCAGTGGTAGAGCACTTGCCTTGCATGCCTGAGGCCCTAGGTTTGATTCCTCAGCACCACATAAGCAAAAAGAAAAAAG